AAAATATTTCTCTCTCCTCCCCTGCACATATTAAATAATACATTCCCCTTCCCCACCCACACATAAAATAATACACTCTCCCTCTCCAGTTACCTGCACATTTAGGAGATTGAGATTGCCTCAAAGGGCCAAGAATTGAATATAGTTTTTTTAACTCAACATTTTAAACAAATACTTGATAGGTGGACATTGTTAGACTAAACTAGAGCATTGTAGTTCTTTAAAAAAAAAATAATTTTTAATTTAATTGATTCTTATTGACATTTTACAAGTAAACAATTTCAACAGAAGCATTTCCAGGTACATAATGTTACATTTTAATTCCAATTTTCTTAAACATACCTATGTCACAAGAGAATTCATAGATGTGGGGTTTCTGAAGGAGGCCCAGTTGGCACATACAAGTGAGAGCATTGAGGGCCTTAAATATCACAAACTCTTCCACATCGCTCAGCCCCTGCTGGAGAAGTGGCTTTAAGATGGATGAACTTTGCCATCCTACATAGGCTGCAACACCTGTAAAAATTAATAGGTAAAGAACAACAAAAGATCAACAAAGTTGTACAATTCATCCATCTACAAATCGTTGTATAATCTCTTTTCAAAAGACTACAGAAGATTACACAACTGAATAACACCACCAAACATTAACCGTTTGAATCATGTGACTAAAGATAAATATCACTATTTACAAGGACCTGGAGGTATGTACAGAAGATCATGTATCACAGTGGCCTTCCACATGTGTTATCGCACTGAATATGAATACGAGTGGAAAAATATTTGGCCACACTTATATGAGCCAAGACCCACCACAATCTTCCTCCAGGTTCCGAAGCATGGTGCATGCATAGTGGAAGCTTTTTACATCATCAGTATAGAAAACATATTATCTGATGTCTTTACTCCTTTGTTAGACCTATGAGTACCTACCAAACCTTTGGTAAATGACTACATACATGTGGCGCACCAAGTGAGTGCCTTTTGGATTGAATGCTGGTACCACTACTCCATATACAGTGTATTTATCTGTGTATATGGTCACTGTATATAAAACTACAATCTGCTGTAAGTTCTGAAAGTAGTAGCTTAAAAGGAGAACTGTGGGGTTAAGGCTTTTCCCCATAGTTCTCCTTAGGGTAACGGGAGGACACAAACTGGCGTGCTCCAGTCACCCTAAGCTCAGTATACCACGAGCTACGGCTCGCGGTATACTGAGACGCCGAGGCTGAAGTGGATCCCGACAATTATGTTTGGATCCGCCCCGCTGCCGGAGGGACAGGCGGGTCTCCCTCCCCCGAG